TTGTGGCCAAAGTGTGCAGGGAGAATGATCACAAATCACGGTGACAAATGGTGCTGCCTGGGCTGGACTTCAGGAACATCACAAATGTTTATTCTTTCTCCTTTTTCTTTTTTTGAGATGGAGTCTTGCTGTTACCCAGGCTGGAGTGCAGTGGTGTGATGTAGGCTCACCGCAACCTCTGCCTCCCGGGTTCAAGCGATTCTCTTGTCTCAGCCTCCCGAGTAGCTGGGATCACAGGCACATACCACGACACCTGGCTAATTTTTGTATTTTTAGTAGAGACAGGGTTTTACCATGTTGGCCAGGCTGGTCTTGAACTCCTGGCCTCAGGTGATCCGCCCACCTCTGCCTCCCAAAGTGCTGGGATTACAGGCATGAGCCACTGTGGCCAGCCTACAAATATCTTTTATTAAAGTATGCAACACACATAAAACTGCACAAATTGATCACATGCAGCTCAGTGAAAGGGCACAAAGTGAACAAACCTTTCAAAGTGAGCACACCCATGCCATTGTCACCCAGATGGAGATGCCTCCGGGAGTTATCCCTTTACCCTCAAAGTGACAACTCCCTTGACTTCTAAAGGCGCAGATCAGTGTTGCCCATTTTCGAAGTATTTATTTATTTAATCTTTATAAAAAGATTGGGTCTCACTCTGTCACCCAGGCTGCAGCACAGATCATGTAGCTCACTGCGAGCCTTGAACTCCTGGGCACAAGCCATCCTCCTGCCTTGGCCTCCAGAGCAGCTGGGAATCAGAATGGCTGGGACTGCAGGGGTGCACCATTTATTTTTTAACTTTACATACCAGGAATTATACACCGTGTTCTATTCTGTGTCTGGCTTCTTTGGTTTAGCATGAAGTTTGTAAAAGTCATCCATACATTTGTGTGTAGCTCCAGACTGTCCATTCTCATTGCTGCATAAAGCTCCATGCTCTTCAGTGTATTTATCCATTATGATATTTGGGGAGTTTCCAACTTTTAGCTAGTGTGCATAGTGCTGCACGTTCTAGGGCATATATCCTCAGTCCTTCCGGATATATACCCAGGAGTGACATTGTTGTTCTTCCTTCCTTCCTTCCTTTTTCTTTCTTCCTTGCTTCCTTTTCCTTCCTTTCTTAACTTTCTTTCTGTTCCTTTTTTCCTTCCTTTCTCTTTTTCTTTTCTTCCCCCCCCCATCTCTCCCCATCTCTCCCTCCCTCCTTTCCTCCCTCCCTCCCTCCCTCCCTTCCTCTTGTAGAGGCAGGATCTTACTACATTGCCCAAGCTGCTCTCAAACTCCTGGGCTCCAGTGGTCCTCCTGCCTCTGCCCCCAAAACACTAGGATTACAGATGCGAGCCACTGCACCCAGCCAATGGTTTCCAAAGAGGTCGTACGAGATTCCACTCTGGTAGAAAGCAAGAGTCAGAAGTGGTTTCAGATCCAGGTCAGTGACCTTGGGAAAGTTTTTAAGTCTCCCTCAGCCTCAGTGTTTGCATCTGTTCCACGGGGCTGCTGTAGAGACTCAGCGGAAGCTTTACCTGGGCAGGGACACCATCAGTGAGATTCACTCTTTCATGAAAAACTCTGGGGTCTTCAGAAATCTCTGCAGGTAATGCTCCCGCTCTAAAACGGAACAATCTTCTCACAGAGGTCCATCAAACAAGTTATCACTTCAGATAGCACAGCCCTCTCATATGACTGGCTCTTTCCATCTGAACACGTGGGTTTCCTTCTTGTTTCATATTAGCTGCAGCTCCCCTTTGAGCTCTGAAACAATGTCAAATACAAAAATCATTGCTATTTGGTGAATGCCTTAAGAGCCCCTCCTTCTCCCTGAATCCCACACGGTTCCATCTTCTTGCAACTCCACTCACTCTTGGGTTAATCATTTCATCCATATCTTGGCAAGTCAGAAAAAGTTGAAAGTGCTGTGGGGCAATGTGTAAAAGCTGGTGCATTGGCACAGAGTTAGGGACTTTGTGTAAAGACATATAATCTTTCCAAAGTGTTTCAAAAGAACCTGAATACTGACGTGTGTGTGGAGGGGGGAATGGGGATTAACTAGGATTCAGCTACCTAAGACTTGAAGAAATATTTGTCTTTTTCATCCTTTTCCCTTTCCTTTCCATTTGGACTTTCTACCTATACGAGCTCCGTGAAAATTTGATGCTTTCTTGGTACATTCACTTTGCAAGACAGTTTGGTGATGTCTTAGAAGCTTGAAGATATGAATACACTGCGGACCCAGAAATTTCCACACCTAAGGCTATTCCTATAGACATGCATTCTTATCTGCACCAAAGATATTTGAGGCAGTAATGTTGAATAGCCCCAACTGGGAAAAAAAAAAAAAAACGGATACCTATCGACAAGATGATGCATACACAAATTGTGGCATATTCTGTCAATGAAATACTATACAGCAGTGAAAATGAATGAAACGCAGCCACATGTGACAACAGATGAATTTTTCTAAAATTCAAACCAGATTAGGCTGTATGATTTTTTTTTTTTTTTTTAAAGACAGAGTCTCACTCTGTTGCCCAGGCTGGAGGGCAGTCGTGCAATCTTGATTTACTGCAACCTCAGACTCCTGCACGCAAGGGATCCTCCCATCTCAGCTTCCCAAGTAGCTTGGACTACAGGTTCACATCACCATGCCTGGTTAATTTTTGTTTTAAAAATGTTTTTGGAGCAGCAGGGTCTTGCTATATTGCCCAGGCTTGTCTCAAACTCCTGGCCTCAAGCAATCCTCATGCCTCCACCTCCCAAAGTGGTGGGATTATAGGCGTAGCCGCCGCACCCTGCCAGATGAATCTTAAAGACACAATGCTGAACCAAAGAAACAAGAAACTGCGGAATACACGCTATATGATTATTCCATTTATATAAACGCCTAAAAGAAGCAAAAAGCAAAATTGTAGTATTTAGGAGTGCATAATAAGGTAGTCAAACTGTATTTTTAAAAAGCAAGATATGAATACCATAAAGTCAGGTAGTGATTATTGCTGAGATCAGAGGCTCTGGAAGCTGTGGCAGAAGGGGGCTCTGCAGAGGTGGTGTTCCACTTCTAGCTCTAGAGTTGGTTTCATGAGTGTTCATTTCAGATCAATTTCTTAACCCTGTACCTTATGTTTTATGCAATTTTTTCCTGTGTGCTTATTGAATTTCACCACATAAAAAAGCAGAATGGGAACCAATCAGAGTGGTTCTCGAGAGACATGAGTACCAAGCAAAGGATACCACCCAGAATCCCTATCCAGCCAACTAGGACCTGTTTAATTATTTCCTTCTGGGAGTTCAGACTTGTCAGCTCTGGGGTCTCCAGGATAGAATAAACCCTTCATTCCGACTTGCAGGACTCCCTGTGATTTGAAACGTTCGCAGAAGTAACCCCAAATCACTCTCTCCGCTTTCAAAAATGGTCGTTTGCAAAACAGCAAATTTGTTTAGAGACGGAGAAATCGCACCTTTAGACACAAATCCCCTCTTTTTTCTGTCTTTTAAGTTTTTTCCTTCCTCCAATCTGCCTTCTCCTTGCAAGATGCTGCGGAGCGTCCGTTTGTCTGCAACCGAAATGGAACCGGGTGGAAAACAGGCTTTCCTCCCAAGGGAGGAGGAATCAGCCCCAACTCCCCGCTCCCTGCCTCCCGACTGTGCGGCGCTCCCCTGTCTCCCCCACAAACTCCGCGGAGCCCGGTCCCCCCCGCGCCTCCACGATTGGTCTCGGGCCCTCATGTGTCGAACCTCTGGGTGGGTTCTTCTGCAGGCAAATTCATCAATTGCTCCCCTTTTCCGCTTGCCGGCCAGTGATTGAGACCTTTGCGCCCATTTTTTCCCCCTTTACTTTCTTTTACCCGCAACCCTCCACACCAGTCTTATTTTAGCAAAACCTAGAGAAGGAGGAGGTGGAGGGATTTGGAGGGTGGAGGGGCATTGCAGCATCCAGGGGCAGCTATTGAGTGGCTAAGCGGAGGGCGCATACCTCTCTCTCTTTCCCCTCTGTGGGGAATTTTCAGGATTTCACTGCTGCAATTTAACCCCAAGACGAGGCACCATTGAGCGAAACGCTGTGCGCACACACACACTCACACTTCCTCCGGGAGCAGAAGAGGCAGCCGCTGGTGATTCAGGAAGAAAAAAAAATTTTTTTTCTTTTTCTTTTTCTTTTCTTTCTTTCTTTTTTTTTTTTTAAACCTGGACCCTGCGCTGTGAAGACTACTTAGGAACCCTCTGGAGCGTCTCACTCCCCCTCCCCTCTCTTTCCCTTCCATCTTCTTTATTTTTATTTTACTGTATTTTTGGAGCTACAGATCTTTCAGCATTTTTAAGGTCTAGGAACTCCAGCAAAACAGAAGGGGAATTTTTAAAATATTTTTTTGTTGCCCTCCCCACCCAGCAAAGACCTGTTTTATGATTATTATTTTTAAGTGTATATATATTATTTTTTTAATGGGTTGAGTGCACTCCTTTTGCAAGATGCCAGCCTGACCCGGACCTCGGAGGAATTTGAAGCTTCCACTGCGTCCCGGGGGGGGCGTCCTTTGCAAACCGTTCGCGTCTTAAAGGGGGGGTGCGTTGGGTGGTTTTTTTTTTTTTTTTTTTTTTTTTTTTTTAAACTGTCTTTTTTTTTTTTCCCCGGAGTGGGTGGACTGGGGATTGCCTGGATTCCTTCCTCGGTTATTTTTTGCCTCGCTTCCCTCTCCCCTCCCCCCTCCTCCCCGGGCCCCCGCGCCCCGCCCCCGCACCCTCCTCCCGCCCCTCCTTCTCCGGGGTCAGCCAGGAAGATGTCCCGAGCTGCTATCCCCGGCTCGGCCCGGGCAGCCGCCTTCTGAGCCCCCGACCCGAGGCGCCGAGCCGCCGCCGCCCGATGGGCTGGGCCGTGGAGCGTCTCCGCAGTCGCAGCTCCAGCCGCCGCGCTCCCAGCCCCGGCAGCCTCAGCCTCAGCGGCGGCGGCGGCAGCGTCTTCCGCATCGTTCGCCGCAGCGTAACCCGGAGCCCTTTGCTCTTTGCAGAATGGCCCGCTTCGGAGACGAGATGCCGGCCCGCTACGGGGGAGGAGGCTCCGGGGCAGCCGCCGGGGTGGTCGTGGGCGCCGCAGGCGGGCGAGGAGCCGGGGGCAGCCGGCAGGGCGGGCAGCCCGGGGCGCAAAGGATGTACAAGCAGTCAATGGCGCAGAGAGCGCGGACCATGGCACTCTACAACCCCATCCCCGTCCGACAGAACTGCCTCACGGTCAACCGGTCTCTCTTCCTCTTCAGCGAAGACAACGTGGTGAGAAAATACGCCAAAAAGATTACCGAATGGCCATATCCTTTTGCCCGAACCCCGGCGGCAGCTGCGCCTCCCCCTCCTCCCTCCACCTCCCCTCTTCCAGGCTGGGAGAGAGACCCGGGGGTTGATGGGAGGTGGGGAGGAGGGGGGTCTTCCAGGGGCTGGGAGAGGGGGCACCGGGAGGAGTGTGAGCGAATCTCTCCACCCCAGCTGGGTTGAGCTACCTTGGAGGCTTGGGAGTGGGTTTGTGGGGGGTTGCGGGGCGGGGGGGAAGCGGAGAGTGCATCCCTCCCAAGGACCGACCCCAGAATGAGATCTGGGGCCTGGGGTCGTGCAGGGCCTTGGTGGGCGCTTTCGAGCCAGTTCCGGAGGGTTCCGAGTTCTCTGGAATGAGCTTGGAACGGGTTCGGGCCTGGGCGCTTCTGGCCAGGGCAAGGGAACTATGGGGGCCTTGGTTGGGTTTTCTTGGCCATCCCTCCCTTGGAGTCCACGCAGGGGAAGCTGGACAGCCTCTCCACTCCTGCCTTCCCCAAGGTGGGGGGGTCACCGCACTTTTAGGGCAGGGCGCTTGGGAGCTCCCAGGGCGAAGAGCAAGAGGGGAGTCCATGTGGCCTTCACCCTGAGAAGCCAGCACTGGCCGGAGTGAAAACCCCAGGGTGGGCCGCTGGTCAGGTCTGGAGAGGGTAGTGACGGGTCGGAAGGCGCTAATGTCTCCCTCATGTTTGTAGGTCCCAATGCCTTTAGTGGCTGATCAGGGACCTCATCATCTTTAGGGTGTAGAGAAACAGATCCGGTTTGCTTTACCTGGGCCCCTGGCCTGGGAAGACCTGATCTGGACAGTTTCAGTAAGAAAGGGCAGGAGCAAATGCGGTGGTGGGTCCCTTCTAGAGCACCGGGTCCAGCTTTTCCTACCCCGAGTAGCCGAGAGGGGACACCAGGAGAATCAGCACCCATGTGGACATCTTAGGTAGGTAAATGCCTTTAAAAAAAAAAATTTTTTTTTTTTTTTTTTAAATCCAAGATCCAGAGAAAAAAGGTGAAGCCCACATTTTCGTCTGTGGAGATGCTGTCAAATGCAGAGCTCCTGTGTCTCTTTAAATCTCTGCCTGCTTGAAATAAACCTTGAGGAGGGCTTCGCATCTATTGAGATGTAGGCAGGCAAGGGAGGGTAATTAGTCGGGCTTTCTAGCAGTTATCTAAGCATGACCCAGATTCCAGGAGGGGGGACACACCCTGCTGCCCAGGCTGGCTGGCCACCATGCCATGCCCAGATGTGCCGATTCTCCTGACGGTTGCAAACAGCTGCCCTCCGTGTAAAACTCAACCGGCTGGATGGGCCCCTGGGGCTCAGCGATGAGTCCCCCATCCCTTTTGTGTATGGTTTTGCAGTTCTAGACTCAACGGAGCTGGGCCCTGTGTGGTCCCTTGGGGGGGTTGCTGTTTGAGGAACATGGCGGGTGGTAGGAGGATTCACTTCAGGTGGCTCAGAATTGAGCCTGGCTCTTCATCCCGGGTGCTGAGATTGTAACGGAGGGCACGAGGTTTTAGAGTGTGTGATCGGTCTACTTTGAGGGTGGGGAAAATTAAGAAGTTCAGCAGAGATGCTTTGGAGGGGAGCATACCTCTAACTATGATGCTGTTGGTGCCCAAGGCAGGGGCCGGGTCTTTGCTTCCCAAGTTTCAGCTTCCTGAAGAGGCTGTTTCTTAAGGTTGGCAATTCAACCCCATCTCAGGCCCATTGAAGTGCTCAGGGGTGTTGTGATCACTCTGCCCATCAGCAGAGTGAGGGGTGGGCGTGCCTTGCAGGAGGGTAGGGTGTTCATGTGTGGACACTCAGATAGCTCCAGGAGTGAGAGGGCTTTGCTCAGCTGACAGGTTTCCTCATTGAAAATGGCTTTAGATCGCCTTCTGGAGCCTGGATTTGGAGACTTCTAAGAGGAAAGGAAGGAGGTGGGGAGCCCTTCTGTTGTGTCCTTAGCTTACCTCTGTCCAGCCTGAATCCTGCAGATTGGAAGGCTGTTGGGGGAGGGGGAGATTACAGCCGCCCCTCAGAAGGGAGGGAATCGTGGGAGTGGGAGGCAGGTAAATTGGGAGTGTTGCTTGCCACTTCATCTTTTCTTTGGCCAGCTCACTCAGGGCTTTCTTGCTCTTATGATGAGTTTGTGCATTTTGCTCTCTGCAGACTGTTTTTCTTCTCTTTGGCTCGAGGTAACAAACACATTATACAGCCCTACTCTGGAAGGGAAAACTCCCCCCGCCACCCCAATCTGTCATCAAGCTGGGTCATCCGGGACTGAGCTTTCTCTGTCCTGGATGGAGCGGAGGGTGATGGCAGCGTGGGTGGGAGGGGTGGAGATAAGAGGATGGATGGGGACCTGGGGAGGGAGGCAGTGAATAAAAGAATTCAGGGCAGTGTAAAGAGAACGACCATGTGGAGTGTCAGGGTCACGCTACCAGGGCAGAACATTTTACTTTTTTTTCCAAGTATTTCTGCCATTAAAAAACAATGTTTAAGCATATCCTGTGGGGGGGGGGGGAAATGTGTGTAGGTACTTATTCTGAACTTTTAAAGTCTGATATGTGTACGGGCAAGTATGTATATCCAGAGTCACAGGTTTTTACAAAATGAACACATCCAGGCATCCAGCACCCAGGTCCTGATCAGCCCCCCCGGAAATCCTCCTCCCCATACCACCTCCTAGTCGCTCCCCAGCAAGGGTACGGCTCACCTGACTTCTATGATTCCTTTTGCCTCTTTTACGCATCATGTAAATGGAGTCACACAGTGTGTTCTTTTGCCGCTGGCTTCTTTGCCTCACGTCTGTGCGTGTGACTCTGCCACAATCTATCCATCCTACTGTTGATGGGCATTTGTTGGGCATTTGTGTTGATCGCCCCTGCTACTTTTTGATGTGTGTGCTGTGGGATGTGTATTTGAAAATGCGGTTTACTAAGGGTTGCAGGTCGTTATGGAAAGCAGGTTCCTCACTGACTTGTGGAAGAGAAGTGAGTGAATGATCCATGAACTTGGCTGTGTGCTCACAGGGTCCAAGAGTGGTACTTCTAAATGCAAATTCCGGCACGGTACACTGGTGAAGGATGCAGCCTTGCCTTCTCCACAGTCAGGGAAATTTGCCACTGTGACTTCTTCCTCTTTCATTCCTCAGCGGGTCAAACTTGAATCCATCCATGAGAATTAAGAATCCGCATGTATTTCATTTTTTCTCCTCTTCCTAAGTGAGAAAACCCAAATGGAAGTCTTTGATATTCAGATTTACATTGCTGTATTTTTCTCATGCCAGGCAGCAAGCCATCTTGACCACACACCTTGATTCCACGTTTCCATTGATTGGAATTGTGATTCAAATAGGGTCATGAGGGTCTCTAATGATTGCTGATGAGCTCAGATCTGTCAGCTCAAAAAGGAGCATCTGTCAGCCTTCGTAGAGCTCCCTCTCTGCTTATTGCCACTCACTTCTTCTACCAAGTGCCAAGGTGAATGCCATCTTTCCCACCCTCCCTGTGCCACCAGGTCTCCCACTGAACAAGATGTAGAAACTCAGGCCATTGCAGGAGCACTGGAAGAAGGTCTACGTATTATCACACACAGCCTCCTGAATTACACTTAGAATTCCGGCTTTTCATCCGGTTTGCAGGAATCTTAACAAGATACCTAAAGTCACATTGACATCAGGTGATAACGCTTTGACATCTGTGAACATTGGCTGATTGGCACTCCTCATTTTTTTTTTTTTTTTAAAGAAAAACTCTCTAAAGAGAAACTTCTGCATGAGAAGCCCTGGGGGACATGGAAGCAGGTCATGATACTCTTGGCCTGTCCTGAAAGGTAGCATGTTCTACAAGGTACTGCTATAGCGGGCAGGATAGTGTCACTTATGTGATCCTTGTACTAGACCAGCTTGGCTGCAAAGTGAAAAACAGCACGGCGTTTCCATCAGGAGTATTTTCAGAAAGGGTACAATCTCTCTTCCACAATTCCCAAATCCAAAAAGCTCCAAAAACCAAAAGATGAGCTCATAGAGAGATAAAACCTAACCTGAACTGACTTGAGTTTGAAGGCTTAATTTACAGTTTCCATTCATCCCGCTTGGTGTGCATTTGAGTATGTTTTGCAGCAGAAATGTTCGATGTGCTTGCTGATGGCGTGTTGCTTCACCTCCTCACTGTCTGGCCTGCCCTGTGGTCCTGTCAAACTTTCAGGCGCGTGAAGACGGTCTTGTGAACAGGATAGCTTGGGTCCAGCAGGGTTCGGATGGGGTCTGGGATTCTGCTTTTCTAGCTGGTGTCTAGGGATTCCCCACGCAGCAAGTTGGTGGGCTATGGTTGGAGTATTAGGTTTTATATCATAGAAAAAGCTTGTTATCATTTTTCTTTTCCTTAAAAAAATAATTTATTTGTAGCAAAATTCACCCTTTCGACATACGAGTCTGCGAGTTTTGACAAAGGCATGCTGTAGCCGCCACCCAAATCAAGATATGGGATAGTCCGTCAACCCTAAAATACCCCCACAGTGCCCCTGTCAAGTCAGCATCCCTCCTCCCCATCCCCTTCAACCACCGATCTGTTCTCCATCCCTACAGTTTTGCCTTTTGCAGAAGGCCACATAAATAGAATCTCACGGTATGTAGCCCTTTGAGTGTGGCTCCTTTCGCTCCGTCTTTGAGATTCATTCACGCTGTTGCCTGCGACAGTAGCGCCTTCTTGTTGGTGTTGAGCAGTATTCCATGATATGGATGGACCAGAGTTTGCTTCCCAGACGAAGGACCTTGGGATGCTTCCAGTTTCGGTGATTATGAATAGAGCTGCTATAAACATTGGCGTGCGGGTTTTAGTGGGAACATTTCATTTTATACTTTTCATTTCTCTTGGGTAAATTAACCCAGGAGTGAGATTGCTGAGTTGTGTGGTAGGTGTGTGTTTAATTCTATAAGAGGCTCTCAAACTGTTTTCCTAAGTGGTGGCACCACTTTACATTCCCGTCTTTGCGATGCCGCTGAGAGCCCTGGGTTGTGAA